AACCATCCACCATCTGACACTCTGAACCTTTGGAGCACTGGACATCACTGCAGCTGGGCCTCCTGATGGAAGTCTTCATGTGCACACACCGTGGCCAACCATCCACCATCTGACACTCCGTTCCCTTCTGGCACTGAATATCATGACAGGAGGGCTGGTTCTGAATACATTGAGGATGCCCATCCACCGTCTGACACGAGGTCCCTTTAGGGCAGTGGATGTCCCTGCAGGAAGGCTGCCTTGGAGCCACCTTGGCTTGGACGCACTGTGGCCAACCATTGACCATCTCACAAACTGAACCCTTGGAGCACTGGACATCACTGCAGCTGGGTCTCCTGATGGAAGTCTTGATTTGGACGCACTGAGGCCAACCATCCACCATCTGACACTGCGTTCCTTTCCGACACTGAACATCGTGGCACGAGGGCTGGTTCTGCACACATTGGGGCCACCCATCCATCATCCTACACGAGGTCCCCTTGGGACAATGGATGTCCTTGCAGGAAGGCTGCCTTGGGGCCACCTTCGCTTGCAAACATTGAGGCCAACCATTGACCATCTCACACACTGAACCCTTGGAGCACTGGACATCACTGCAGCTGGGTCTCCTGATGGAAGTCTTGATTTGGACGCACTGAGGCCAACCATCCACCATCTGACACTGCGTTCCTTTCTGACATTGAATATCATGACAGGAGGGCTGGTTCTGCACACACTGGGGCCACCCATCCATCATCCTACACGAGGTGCCTTTGGGACACTGCATGTCCCTGCAGGAAGGCTGCCTTGTGGCCACCTTGGCTTGCAAACATTGAGGCCAACCATTGACCATCTCACAAACTGAACCCTTGGAGCACTGGACATCACTACAGCTGGGTCTCCTGATGGAAGTCTTGATTTGGACACACTGAGGCCAACCATCCACCATCTGACACTGCGTTCCCTTCTGGCACTGAATATCATGACAGGAGGGCTGGTTTTGAACACACTGGGGCCACCCATCTGTCATCCTACACGAGCTCCCTTTGGGACAATGGATATCCCTGCAGGAAGGCTGCCTTGGGGACACCTTGGCTTGGACACACTGCGGCCAACCATTGACCATCTGACACACTGAACCCTTGGAGCACTGGACATCACTGCAGCTGGGTCTCCTGATGGAAGTCTTGATTTGGACGCACTGAGGCCAACCATCCACCATCTGACACTGCGTTCCTTTCTGACATTGAACATCATGACAGGAGGGCTGGTTCTGCACACATTGGGGCCACCCATCCGTCATCCTACACGAGCTCCCTTTGGGACACTGCATGTCCTTGCAGGAAGGCTGCCTTGGTGCCACCTTGGCTTGGGCACACTGGGGCCAACCATCCACCATCTGACATACTGAACCTTTGGAGCACTGGACATCACTGCA